CACCTCTCCGCTCACATTATTATCACTTTTTAATGTTCATTTACCATATTAAATATTTTTCTAGAGTAATAAAATAATTTTCTAATCAAGATTTGGCATGTTGCCAAAAGAAAAATTAAGGGTTGGCTACCTAGTCGACAAAAAAAAAAAAAGAGTACGGGTTGGCTTGTTTGGCTATGTGTCTACGATATTATGGTCAAAAGGTATTTTACATAGAGAGATTAGGTGTTTTTCCAGTTTTTAATTCACTTGTCTATGTATATCATTTATGATAATATAACACGCTGCTTTTTTTTGTTTAAAACAAATTTAAATTCTAATATTTAGATAAAAAAACTATGTATTTAGAGTTATAAAAATATTTATTTGTATACACTGTATTAATAAAAATGTATGATATCAATTTAGTTATAATGTGTAGAAAAAAACTGAAGTGTTTTAATATATATAAAAACAAAAAAAATTAAAATCTAACAAAAAAATTTACAAAATGCACTGTATAAAAAGAATAATACATTCCTTTATTTTCCAGATTCTGACATGGTCAAAAACGTCATATCGTAAGACATACGAGTACATCAAATCGTTCGTGCGAATAAAAGGAAACTTGGAATACTGTAAGATTTCTAGTTTTAACTCCACAATCCAACAACGTGATTTTCAAATGTGTTTATAATAGTTTATTTTAAATAATCAATAGATTTAGCGATTATTGTGGATATTTTTATTACTATAATAATATGACTGTGACGTGGATTAGGGCCCACGTAAATATATAGATTCTGTAATTAAAACACCAACAAAGCTTTGGTCAATGGTCAGTATTCACAACTCGTAATAATTAATAACAGTGGAGTAACTCCACTAATAAAAATAGTAGATTTCACATATTTATCTCAATACGCGCTTTCAGCGCGTGCAAATCAAATATCAACGTGGTTTCAGACTGTTTCCACGTGGTTGATTATATACATGACACGTGGAGGATCGCTCTCTTCTGATTCGTCGTCTTGGATCTTGTTTTTGTCGAAGCTACTCTTACGCTTAAATATCTGTTAGATACTACGAATACAAGGTCTGAGTTAAAAAGAAGTAAAGACTAATCTCACAGGCGTTCACGGATACTAAGCGTGACAGTTGGCTTGGGTGTTTACGTGGCAGGTTATGAATGGTGGGATTAACATTACCTGAATGGCTTTCACGACGTTAAAAATGGCTTTTATGACATTAAAAAGCACTGAAAATGCCACGTTGGAGTGTAGAGTCCCGCCAAATGAAATTGTCGGGTTTCTTTTTCTCATCGATGAATTTGTAAATAAATTAAAGTAAAAATCAAATTAGATAAAAAGAATATAGTATTAATATGGACTAGTTAGATGACACGTGGTGCATTATCGGAGTTATTGCTTTTTGCCAACGTGGCAACTGTTTTGATCGTTCGCTTAACCCTAGCCGTCAGAGGAAAAATTTCTCAATCAGGCCCATTAAACATTTCATAAAGCAATTATTTTTGTTTTGCTCTAAAAAATTCGGATGGTTTTAAATAAAAAGAATCATATAATCATATTAAATGTTTAATATGGTAGTATTATTTTTTTATGTATTCTTTTGTCGTATGCAAAGATACTTATATCTATGTAAAAAAAAAATCCCTTCATTAACGCACATCGAAAATTGCGAGCTCTTTGTAC